TGGATGTATGGCACAACAATGGGCCTCAGGATCTCGTCACGGTATCTCTGTGCATTCAAAATGCCATCAATTAAATGCACCCGTGTTCGTTGTCCATAATATACGCCTGCCCATACTATAACCCCACCACCACCATGGGCCACTCGATCCACAACGTTGACATCAGCAAACCGCTCACCCACATGACGCCATACACGCTGTCTGCCATCTGCCCTGTAGAGTGAAAACCGGGATTCATCCGTGAAGAGAACACCTCTCCAAAGTGCCAGACTCCATCGAATGTGAGCATTTGCCCACTCAAGTCCGTTACGACGACAAACTGCAGTCAGGTCGAGACCCCGATGAGGAAAACGAGCATGCAGATGAGTTTCCCTGAGATGGTTTCTGACAGTTTGTGCAGAAATTCTTTGCTTATGCAAACCGATTGTTGCAGCAGCTGTGCGGGTGGCTGGTCTCAGACGATCTTGGAGGTGAAGATGCTGGATGTGGAGGTCCTGGGCTGGTGTGGTTACACGTGGTCCGCGGTTGTGAGGCCGGTTGGATGTACTGCCAAATTTTCTGAAACGCCTTTCGAGAGACGGCTTATGGTAGATAAATTAACATTCAATTCACGGGCAAGAGCTCTGGTGGACATTCCTGCAGTCAGCATGCCAATTGCACGCTCCCTCAAAACTTGCGACATCTGTGGCATTGTGCTGTGTGATAAAACTGCACATTTTAGGGTGGCCATTTATTGTGGTCAGCCTAAGGCACACCTGTGCAATAATCATGCTGTCTAATCAGCATCTTGATATGCCACACCTGTGAGGTGGATGGATCATCTCGGCCAAGGAGAAGTGCTCACTAACACAGATTTAGACAAATTTGAAATATTTGAGAGAAATAGGCCTTTTGTGTACATAGAAAAAGTCTTAGATCTTTGAGTTCAGCTCATGAAAAATGGAGGCAAAAACAAAAGTGTTGCATTTATAATTTTGTTCAGCATATATACACTATAAAAACAAATCTGTGACATAGACGGTAAAATACCGGCAGCTGTGGTTGCCAGAACTTCACCGTAAAAAGTATGGTAGCAACATTTTAGGTTTTACAGACTTAACTTAAATTCACAATAAAATACCGTATTTCATTAACTGATGTAATGTTAATAAACCATCATATTGAAGTACTAATATCTGTTTTGAACCATTGTAATGCACTAATAACCACCAAAAACCGGTTGTGATGAGAAAGTCACACGATGAAGCAAGGCTCATCACAAACAGCTTTTCTACGAGCTGAGGAGGGCAATACTTATATATAGAAGGTGCACAGTGTCATTCCCACAAACACTAAACCTCATCACGGGGACAGACATGATGCTGAAATAATGCAATAAACATTAATTTAACAACATTAGATGTAAGATTAAACCCTAATGTACACATCTAATAAGAAA